AAAAAAATAAAATTAAAATATTTTGCATTAGAGGTAAAAAGATATTTTTTTCGTCTATCAAACTGCCCTATCCAGAACTCTTCAAATTTTAAGAAATTGTGAAGGATTTTCACGAAATTTTTCAATAGACCCGTCCTCTCCACTTAAAAAAATGCACAATCCTCTACCTGTACGTAAACATAACACCAGAATGATTGACAATTAGGAGGACCAGTTATATTGAAGATCCACCCAGAAAAAGAACATCCTCCACTATACCTTAAAGACTCGGCTATACTCAAAAGAAGACGTGTCTTTTCTAATGCACCACTATGCACCTCCATAAAGCACTGAAGAATGTGTTTCACTGCCTTTTATGTTTATGGTAATGGTTCAAAACCTCTCCTCTTGTTCAGTAACAAAGCACTTAAAAGTTTGGATTAATACGGTGATCATAAAAAAATGAATCAAAAAATACATGTTAAAAAGATGTCTTTTTCTAAATGTAAAAAATTTTCCCTTTTTTTTTTTAAATATAAATTTGATGACAGGTTTTCTTGGAGTACTTAGTTTATCCCTTCATTTTTGTTCATTCTTTTCTACTTTTATTGGAAATTTCTGGACTGTTTTGTCTTTGCTGACCTTTTGTCCATCTAATAAACAGGATCCTTGTGATCTTTCTTTGGTGGTATTCTTTCATTCCATGCATGCATTTAGGAAAAATATGACATTTCTTTGTTACAACGGCGTAAAGTGGAGCTGTGTGCCGCTTTGACAATCAGTTGATATGGGGGGGTGGAAAAACAAAAATGTTTCTGGACTTGCCTTGCACCTTTTCTGTGATCGCGCTCTGTCACCTTAAAACAAACTGTATTATCACTGTGCAGAAAAAAACAAAAAAAAAATGTCATTCTTTGTTCATTTTTGGTGAAAACCTTTAGAAATAAATGTTTAAACCTGTTAAATGTGTTGGATTCTCTGTCTTTAAACATTTCCTCACAAAAAGGAAACACATTTAAGTTTAACTTCCCACGTATATCATAAGTTAGCTTTAAAAATCAAAGGGATTGTGGACTTGTGGTATGTTCTGGCTAATATAAATCATCATGCAAACAGAATAAATGAAAGCAAACAAGTTTAGACAATTAGGATTTACTAGCAGAAAACCAAAATGACTGAGCCACCATTCATAAATAAACATGACAGTCTTTACATAAACATCCTGCTGAATAATTCAGGTGTTTAAATGTCTACCATAGATGGACCAGGTTTATAAAAGCACAAATAAAACAAAGGATTTCTTTGCTCTTCTGTAGTAAACATGCAAATTTGTATCACAAATAAAATCCTTTGGATCTCAGTTTAACAATGAAATGTAGAGGGGATCAAACAGATATGTAGTGACTAATAGTAGTAAAAAAAAAACTTTCTACAGGAGGGATATGAGACACTCCCTCCACCACCTGAAGGTCAGATATTAATCTGCCTTTTAGTAAAATGATGAGTGAATCTTTTAAAATAGTTTCCCCCCCAAAAAACAAAATTGTACAAATAAACGTATGCGTGCTTTAGCATCAGTGTCTTTATTTTTCCTGGTTGCATTTTCTCTTTCTTAAATAAATGATTAAACTTTAATGCATTAGAATGTCAACAGGAATCGTCAAGGTCTCAATCAAGTTAACTTTAACAAATTAAAAAGTATAAATAAGTATTAACAAAATCTAATGTTGGAGAGCAGAATGATATCAAAAGCTTTTTTTTTTTATTATTATTTTGATAATGGGAACGAACCCTGCAAAAACATTCATGCCCCTCATTTTTTTTTTTATAGATTATCTAATTTTACAAATAAAAGCTTCAGTGTGTTTTATTGGGATAATTTGTGAGAGGCCAACACAAAGTTCTACACGTAAAAAAAAAAACTGTAAATGTAAAAATCTCATAAGTTTGCTGTGTTTTTCTGATTATAGGCCCATTTACTCCAAAAATTTTAACAAAATCCTTCAAAAGGCATCTAAATAGGAATTGGGCACATTTTTGTTAAACAGCTGTGTGATTTTTACCCTAATATACATAATTATAGCTGTTCTGTTCTGTATTTATAGTGAATATATGAACACCAGCAGCTACAGAGACTAATGGTAACTCTGGAGGAGCTGCTTCCTTCTCAGGAAAGAGAATCTGTTGACAGCTATACCCAAAACAAATCTGAATTTTTGAAGCTTCTGTTTGCAAAGGAACCAAACCAACTTGGAAGCTTAAGACGCTTAAAATACAGCCAGAGCTTCAATAGGATGGTTTAGATAAAGTGAGAACTTTAGACCTAAATTCAATTAAAAATCTGTGTCAGGATATAAACATTTCTGTCTACTGGCAATTTCCAACAATTCTGATTGAGTTTTTTTTCATAAACAGGGAAGCATTTCAGTCTCTAGTGTCGGAAAGGCAGTGCAGATGTACCAGAACAGAGAGAGGGTTTTAAAAAACATTGAGAAGTGTTTTGCTACAAGTTTCTGGTCTTTGTTCAAAAGAAATTTTCAGAATTTCCACTTAAGTTATGTGCTCCTTTGTGTTGATCTTTCAAAAAAAGTAACATACTTTGATGAATTTAGTTGAAATGGAAGTGTAAGGGGTTTTAATACTTTTGTTTTGCTTTCTTTTTTATTTTTATTACTTTGGCTGATACTTTTCCTGAAAGGTCCCTCATGCGTTCTTGGGAAATGTCTTCCGTTCAATTCAAGTCTCTATTAGGTGGGCGGCGGCCCGTTAGTGTAGTGCAACATGGGGTAAAAGGATCTGGCGAAGTTGTTGGTCACAGTGCAGCTGGAGTCGCTTTCTGACAAGGGAATCAGGCAGGGGAGGAGCAGAAGAAGCAGCAGCAGGAGCTGGAGGGGGAAGATGGCCCGAAAGAGGCGGTAAAAGAACGATCGAGGTGGGGATGAGTCCCTTTGCCTGCAAAACACAAATGGAGTCAAAAAAAAAAAAGTCTCCATCTTGAATGTGTTGCACTGCGCAGAAACATGCATTCTCTGCATGCACCGTACCTTTGAAGGGAGGATTCTGTTTTGGAATAGTCAGCCTCCTGAGATGTGTCTGCTTCAGCACCATCAGCATCCTGAATCAACAAGCGCTGCTGCAGAATGCTGAGGTCCTGGTCCACTTTCTTAGTGAGCTGCCTCAGCTTGTTACACGTCACATGCAGCTTCTCCTGGGCTTCATCCATCTCCTCTGCACCGTCTTTGGGCTGGAGCTGAGACCAGAGAGCCTGAAGGGAGGCCTGGTTAGCCTGTCTGCCTCGCAGCTCCACCTGCAACTCCTGTAGAGTATAAACAAGAAAAGAAACATATCTTAACACTTAGTTTCTCCTCTGAATCTGCTAAAAACTTCTAATTAACAGCCATGCTGACCCTCAGCGTGTTTTGTTGTTTTTGCAGTGCTTTAACACTTGTTTCTGGGTGCTTTATGTCAACTGCACAGCATCTGCTCTCAGCCCAGGGGAGCCACAGCAGCAGAGAGTGAAGGGTTTCATGAAACTCCTGCACAGAGAAAAAAGAAAAAGAAAAAAAACACTGTTATTCTGAGGTTAAAAATTTCTCACCATTAAAGCCCAACTTTTACTGGAAAGTTGTGCAAAAACAAGGTATCACATGCTTTGTTGTTTATGAGGCCTTTTTGGAATTTGACAGCAGCAATATATTTCAAAAAATATTGGCAGGAGCATAAGATGTCTATAAATGTTGTTTAATGTTACTTCAGCACTTGATCCGGCATCTTATATAGTTTTTGTTTAAAGAGAAATAAAAGAAACTGGCTTTTTTAATTAAAAGAATGAAAATTGGCTCAATCTCACTGAGTGGAAAAATAATTTGAGAACAATCTTACAGCTGATAGTATATATTCAAAGGATCTGTCAAGTCCCGGGTAAATTCTGTAAACAGCGATTAATCTAAGTCTGTTTTTGTCAGGCGCTGAGAAGAGGCAACCAGATGGGAAATCAATGAGTTTCAGACATAAAAGTAGTCAAAATTAATCAGATATTTTACTTTTAACTTTCCCTCAAGTTTAGGGGCCATCAGAATTATAGAAAAAATTCTGAAAAAGTCTGAGAATTACTTTAAAAATCAGCAGAACAAAAATATAATGAATACCAAACGTAATGAGAATGTATCATATCAGAGTTATTATGCCATAAATTTTTACCTATTTATTAATATCAAATGTCCGATTCAAATTATAATTTTTTTTTCTCTAACAAACAATAATTATGGACTGATTCATCATTATTTGTTGATAATTAAGTTTAAAGTATGGCTGAAAAGATTAATCGGATTAATCATGATCAATCGACTTTTTAAATAATCGTCAACTAATTTAGTAATCGATTAATCGTTAACTGGAATAAAGAGACTCTAAAACATGCCTTTAGATGACAGAGAACCCCACTTAGAGCTGTAATTATATAAAAATAAAAAATATATATAAACATTTTGCATTTAAGACAAAAAAAAAGTATTTTTCTTCTGTCAATTCTTCTGCTCTATCTAGTACTCCTTACTGGTTAAATTTTGTAAAAAGTCTTCTTTATGTCTAGTTAAAGCTACACTGTCATTTTTAGCAACATCTGATGTCAGACAGCAGCGAAATGAATCGCTCCTCATCTAACACTACGGAGGCTCTCATGGTACAAATGGCCTCTGCAAAGTCCGTATAACTTATCTGGAAGTTTGTTTTCATAGATTATTTTTTTAAACTATTTTATTTGTCTGTGTAGAGCTGGGCAATTAATTGCATTTGCAAGATAATCTAGGAAAAAAATCTATAAAATTCTATTTTCAAATTGCAGAGGCACTCGATATTTAATCAGAAAAGTCAATTCCTAACTAAATGTCTCCCTCCAGTTTAAGATGGCAGTTACCGGTATATGATTTTAGTTGGTATGCTGCCAAATAGAAGGGGAGACAGCCACAGCTTGCACCTAAATTAATGCATTCTAGTTGAAGTAAAAACTTGTTTTTGCAAATTTTTAAGTAAAATCCTGCAACACTGGACAAGCTTTCAAGGTAATAAAAAAAAACGGAAACCCTGGAATAAAACATCTACATGCTTGTGCTCAGTGTAAAGGATTATCCCTAAAAAATTGCAGTATTGGTTGAAAATAATCACAATTTGGATTCTTGTCCAAATCATTCAGCCCTTGAGGGATATAGAGTTTGTAGAGATCAGTAAATCCCTGTATTTATTACACCGGAGTTTTAAAGATATTGATTTTAATTCAAAAGTGATCAAAAGAACAATAGTTGAATTATTTTCCTTTGCTTTGAAATAATTATTTTCCAACAAAATTATTGGGAGTTTTATCACAGTTTTGCTGCTTAACTAAATTACCTTAGATTTGCAGCAAGATGGTCTAAAGATACCAAATATTTATATATGTTTAACATTTTGACCAGTTCCACCAGCCTTTTAAGATCTTTCATTACACAGCCATAAAGATCTGAAAAGGTGGCAAGGATATTTTATGATGCACCAAAAGAATCAGCTCTCTTTCAGAGTAATATTGATTCTTGTTACAGATTGATTTCTTTTTTGCGTATCGTCTCACTTGGCAGCGAATCAGCTTCTTTCTCAGGCTGTGGTCCCACTGCTGCAGTCCTGTACAGGCTCTGCTCCAGTCTGCGTTCACCCTGGTCAGTCTGTCCTGTAGCTCTGGTGCCTCTTTGGCCTGCAGGTTGACAGACAGCATGATGGTCTTGTAGTGGCAAAACACCTTTTCCATTTCCTGAAATGACAAAAAAATTTAAACTGTAGTGATGTAGAGAAAACTAAATCTGCTATTCTTAGATCTGATCATTACCTTCAGCTCTTTGGCTCTGACTTCGATGTCCTCTATGCCACCTTCTGGTTCTGACTGCCGCAGGCGGTCCAGCTCAGGGATAACGTTTTCTAACCAGGAAGTCATTCTGTCCAAGTCAACAGTAATCTGCTGAGGATCCTGAGTGTCTGACTGCTGACTGCACCTTGACTGGGCCCGGAGCAGCTCCCAGCGTTCAATAACACCTGGAAACAAACATCTGCTGGTTCACCATTACAGCCTCACATTAAACTGAACTCCAACACCTTCAGCACACATTGATAATCCTATTAAAGATCTTCCTGGACCCTTGAAATAAGTGGATGTTTTACCGCAGAAAATAATTACAAAGAAAAAATGCAAAACAAAATTATATCATCATAAAAAAAAATAAAAAATCCCTTATGAAAAAATACACCTGCTTTAAAAAACTTATTTGCATGACTTCTCCTCATATTATGTGCTACTCCCTTTTTCTATAACACTGGTTCTCAACCTTTTTAGTCACGACCCCCAATTTAGCATGCACCATGTCCATGACCCCCATCCTGATCAATATACTTCTAGGTCACATCAAAACAAGATAAGCACTTGAACACATGAACTGAGCTATTTGACCCTTTTTTGAAACACACAGGGATTTTTTTTGAAAACATAAGGCAGCATCAAGAGTTTAACTTTCCGAGCAGACCAACAATGGCCGCTACATCCCATCATTTTGCAGTTATAATGTAAACAAATAATGCAAATGTTTTTTTTTTCTTTTTAATGAAATTAAAAAATAACAGCGTGTGCTAAACATGAATAAAACACACTAAAAAGCAGCCCATGTTTCATGAAGGCATCTGAGAGCTGAGTTCCTGAGAACTTCCTGGTTAACAGCAGATACGTTTTTCTGCTCCAATTCAACGTGACGGCTGAGCCTGCTTGTTTGAACAGAGCAGCTTCTTGATTTTATTTAGAAAAGGTGAAGTGGAAATCACTCGGCTCTATCTGAATTTGTTTTTCATGTATTTCAGTGCAGAAAAGGTCTTTTGGTAATCATATGTGGATGCTAATGGAAACAACACGTCAGTTGCAGCTTTTGACTGCGTACTCTGTTGCTACTGACAACCAGAACTCTCCCAGTATGTCACTGGAGTTATTTCTTAACTCTCCATAAAGACCTCAAACTCGGGGAACATTTTAACATTTCCCCCGTCCACTCGCACAGCCCACCGCTGCAGCCTTCTCTTAAATCCTGTGACCTTATGGGACAGGTTTGTTACCGTTGTTCTGATGAAGCCTACTTATGACCGACAGTAACTGGTTTTCAGTAAAAAAAAAATGAGACAACCCCCCATCATCCTCCTAATGTCCGATCAGCAGCTAGATTCATTTAGCACATTTATGTGTTTTTCAAAATGATTAGGCACCCCAATTGGGGTCAGAACCCCAGGGTTGAGAATAGCTGCTCTATGGGACTAAGATGATCACACATTAAGGTTTATTAAGGTAAAGGGAATNAAAAAAAAATGAGACAACCCCCCATCATCCTCCTAATGTCCGATCAGCAGCTAGATTCATTTAGCACATTTATGTGTTTTTCAAAATCATTTGCAACCCCAATTGGGGTCAGAACCCCAGGGTTGAGAATAGCTGCTCTATAGGACTGAGATGCTCACTCATTAAGGTTTATTAAGGTAAAGGGAATTATTTTGTGCTTATATGTTCATGTTTTGCATCCTTACTCAAAAATAATCCCCCCCAGTTATTAATTTTCAGTCTTGTAGCAAACTGTTATATTCAAAATGTCATCAGATTTTAAAGATTAATTTTTTCAACAAAAACAGGCAAACAGCATCAGAGATCCTTACAAAAGTTTGTTTCTAAAATATATTTACCTTCACTATGGCCTGACCAAAGCTTTTTACATGTCAGTCACATTTTGTTGCCATTCTCTGTCTGTATCTGTGCTGAAGTTGGTCAAGTACCTATTTTCCTTCCCTGTTCTTTGCTGACAAAGCTGCTTACTCCTGTCTTACCCATTTTAAATATTGGCTAGGAGGAATCTTCCTCTGTTTTATGCATCTTTAACATCTTGTGCCAGTACCTGTCTAGGGTACTAATGCACCAAATGTTTTCTAACACAACTGAAAAACATTGAATAAGATGACGATCTATAAATAAGTATTAAATTAAGCGTATTTGCCCCAAATTTGAGCAGGTAAATAAGATGATTTTCCAATTGAATGAGGATATTTACTCTTAAAATACGATAATTAGATATTATGCACTGGAAATAAGACGATGCAGTTGTTGTTTCTTGTTTTAAATGTAAATTGTCTTGTTCCATTGGTAAAGCGTCTCACTTAGCTCATCAATTCATGAAACAATTCCCCATATTTTAAGAACAAATGACTTATTTAGATTACATTTTTTTTTGCAGTGAGTTTTTTTCCCCCAACTGCTTGTTTTTAGTCCTTCCCTTTTAGTGCACACTCTCCTTCTGCAGAGGAATCTCACCTGATTGGTTGTCTGAAGCGTTCAGTCCGGTCAAACCAAACTCATCTGGCTGCTCCTCATCATCATCATCCAGGATGAGCGAGACTCTCTTTATGTTCTCGATGCTGCCGCTGCACTGGGACATGAGCTGCAGCTGTAAAAAAACCACCAAGCAGATCTTCAGAGCTGACATCTAGCTTAGCAGTGAGCTCTTCCAGACTGTATTACAGCTTATTTTTTAAAACGTACATAACCATCTTTCAGAGGAGTGCTTGTTAGAGCAGGACTGGGCTCAGCCTGTCCCTCTGCTTCCAGATGAGCTGCTGTGGTTTCCGGTGTTCTCCATGAATGATCAAGAACAGATCTGCTTGAAACTGCAAAACAAAAATTCTTGAGGGTTAAATCCTCTGCTGAACACGTATTCCTTTTATTCATACTATTCCAATGAAGAATGGTGCTAATATTGTAAGAAAATATATTCCATTACAGGATTTTCAGTAAAAAATAAGTAAAAACAAAATCCATTTTGTTCAGAATTCTTGGTTTGGTTTTTGCTATATTTATTTCAGCTTGACTGAAATAAAAAAAAATGGCTCCTTGGGCTGTTAAGATTGCTGACCTCTGCTCTAGACCATTGGTTTGAAATCCTGACTCAGATCTATTTCATTATTAACTTATATGCATCAAAAAATTAATCATACATTTATTTTAGGTATAACCCTTCAATATTTGAACATTTTATGATTTTATAAAATATTAATAGTGAAAACAATCCTCCATCTAGCAGTTTTAAATTAACTTAATCTGTAAGCTACATTTCCTGGTAGATTTCACTGCGACCTAAGAAAAGAGGTGTTGGTGGTTTATTACACAGATGAGGAAGATGAAGAAAGAGTCTAGCCTGTGTGGAGCATCGTAAAGTGTTTGACGCTTCGTTGCATCTGGCCTTCAGTCAGCTTCACTTCGGGGAAGAAATGCAGCTAAAACATAATCTTGCTTCCAAATTTCTAAAATATTTTAATCAAAGCAGAGTCAGTGTTTTTCTGGTGGCCACAGAACATTAAGGCTAAAGAGGGGAATCAGTGGGATGTTATGTTAAATAACTAACAGGTAATATGTCTCTAAAAAGAAAATAATATTTTCTAATTAAGAAAGAAAACGCTTTCTGCTCTTGGCCAAAGCAGCAACAACTTCAAATGTTCAGTGAATGTTTTCTTTAGCAAAATAGAAAAGCCTAAATCTTTTCTAATGTAAAACTTTTTATTTTTGAAAATACCTGATAGTGCACTGAAGTAAGCCCCCCCATCTTTGTGTTCTTCATCTTCCTCGTCATCCTCATGGGATGATGACCCTCCCACGTCTCCGGTGTGGTCCCACTCCAGAGGCAGGGAGTCAACGCTCACCGGGGTCTCCCGCCCTGAACACTCCAGAGGAGAGCTGAGCAGGTGGGTGGGCGTGGCCGGCAGACTTAATTGCCTCCCAAGCCACGGTCGACCAATCAGCTCCAGGCTTGATTCCAGTGAAAAGGTGAGATCAGTGATGTCTGGTTCCTCTCTGATCCTCTGGTTTAAAAATGAACGGAAACACCATGAGATTAAACCTTTTGCTGGTTCAATGTTATAATAGCATCGGAGACTCGTGATTTTCATGTATCTGATTTGATATTCTCTCTTTTTATGTCTTTAAAATGGATCTTTATGACTATTAATATTACGCTGGGAATTACTTACGTTTAAGATATTGCGATACGTTTAAGATATTTAAGATATTTTCATTGAATCTCAATAAAATGTTAAAAAGACACAAGACTATGATCTTTGCTAGATAGATAATCTTTCATTAAACCTGGTGCGACTATTTCCCTTCTCTCTTTCCTCTTATTCTTGACATGACTTCATGCTTTATCTCTGCAAGCTCAAAATCAAGACTTAATAACCTGAAACAGCATCACCTGATTTTGCCATCTGCTCATTTTTAGATCCTTTCTATTGTAGCAAAGCTGCTGACCATTTCCCTTTGTGGTCACATTCTGATACAGATCTCTAAACCCTCTAATAAATAACTTTAAGGGACATTGTCAAACAATTTCTCTTATTTACTGTTTGAAATTGATGACTGCATTTATATATGTTTTATTATGGTGTATTATTACATCCAATAATAATCACATTTTGATAAGAAAAGAATTTTACTTTAGATTATACATAAGGCTGCTAACCTGTTTGCTGTCTGTCATCTTAAAGGTACAGATGGGTAAAATAATACTAACGCAGAATAATGATGCTGGCAGCTTAGGTCAGTGGTGATCAGTTGGAGATGCTAACCTAACAACAGAAAGTCTGCAGCATAATACAGGAGCACAAGAAATGGTTTCACCATCCCCAACAAATTGAAAAAGGGAACTTAAAGCACAACAAAACTGAAGACATAAAGAAAAAAAATTGAGGCTAGACATCAGGTAATTCTTCTGAATGTAGAAGGAGCTAATTTATTGTCATTACACTGTCAAGAATACAGAGCAATGAAATGAACTCTCTGCATTTAACCAATCCCTTTGGGAAGCAGTGGGCTGCCATGGTGCAGAACCCGGGAGGTGAAAGATTTTAAAAGGGACGCCCAAGTTACCATGTTTCTTCTTGACAAGTAAATTAACTGTACTGCCTAAATTAAGGCTAACTATCCATTTGGTGAAATTACACAGCTTTGCTTGTTACAATAGAAAGCATAAAAGTAGATCAAGCAAACATATACCAATGTTGTTGGTAGATAATTGCATTGTTATGTGGGTTTAATAGCTTTCAGAGTCATGGTGAACGTCGGCTTTTTGTCCCAGTAAGCGCCGGCCTGCTGAGACTTCATTCTACTTCGGATGACATGGTTACGTCTACATTGTTGAGGTTTTTTGACACACGGCAGCTACCGTTGCTGCAACATATGTTTAAGGCATTCTCGGGTTCAGTGTTTGCTTCGAGTGAAATACCATGATTTCACCACTAGATGGCAGTAATTCAAAACAATATCCCTTTAAGTATCTAAAATCAACTTTTCGTTATGGATCTTTCTGCAGCACTGCTTTCTAACATAGAAATAAACTCTTTCAGGACATTTAAGAAATAAAGTCTGTGCCAAATAAATATTTTCCCACATTTATAGCCTCACACCTAACGTCAATTTGTGTAATTTTTATTATGTGGCTTACGGACTGTTTATATAGCATGATGTAACACTTCTGAAATTCAGCCAGGGATAAAACATATTATTTTGTTTTAAATAAAAAAGTAGCTCAAGAACATGAGATGTTTTTTTCAGGATGTTATGGAAACTAAATAATTGATGTTCCATGATATAGGAAGACAAACGTGCGTGTGTGGTCCAGCTCACCGGGGGCTGACTCAGACGTTGGTGGAAGCGGACCAGCCTGCTGAAAACCTCCTGGCAGTAAGAGTGAAGCTCCTCCAGCTCATCCTCTATCAGAGCCGCATCCTGCGGTGAACTTTTCTGGATCAGAGCCTCACCAAACACTATCAACCCGTCAATACGCTCAGTGTTCAGGGTGATCTCCTTTTGGAAACTCTGCCGTAAGATGGATGGTCAAACAGAGACCAAGTCAGGAAAACTAAATGAGTAACACATGTCTGTTTTGGAATTTATAAGTGTCCTAGTAATGAGCCATAAAAGAAAACTCTTTCAACCTATATACACAGCTTGAAGATGAAGCCAGTGGCTTAAAAGTCTGGTACATTTTCCTTCAAGAGCAATAAAGCTGACATTTGTGATTAGTTTCTAGAAGAGAGAACATTCCTGATGTTGATGTGTGCCTCACATTGAGCTGTTGTATCTTCTGATGGACGTCGCTCTCTGAAAAATGTTCCACGTTGGTAAGCTGCAAGTCCAGTTCAGTCAGCCAAACAAGCATACTCTCCCTGGTGCCTTCAAATTCCTCCCTTTGGCTGGTAAAAAACTTGGAGAGAAATAAAAATGAGGAAGAGGTAGAAAAAATTTGGAAGAAAATTAACTTAATTTTAGACTATTGGATTGATATAAATATATACTCACTCGCTTATCAGTTCAAGTAGGGTAACAATATGATTTTACAAACATTTTACTCTAAGATTCATTATGAAATTACTTTTCCCCCTATAATAATAACAATGTTCTATTCTTTGGAGACACATGAACATAAGTTACACTGTGATACCTTTAGCCTGCGTAGGATGGCAGCCACCCGGCGGTGCAGGCTGTCCCAGCGCTGGTTGCCCTCTCTGACCATGGCTTTCAGCTGGCTGGCTCTGTCAGTGCGGTTCTCCCGGGCCAGGCGGCGATACTGGTTGTTGATGAGTTCCAGCTGAGTCAGCCGCTCATTAACCTGCCTTTGGAAAACCTGAAGTAAAGAAAAACAGTAAATGGCTTTCAGAGTATTCATTTTAAAATGATATTGAGCCCATAGCAGTTGGGATTGTCTCTTACTGTGCTAAACTGGTTCAGATCTTATTTGGCTGATGGTAGTTACATTAGGGGCTTTTTAAGGGTTGTTACCCCTAGCCTAACATATGAAGTAATAAACCAATTCCATATTTATGGAGGTAAAACACAGGATTACATTCTGTGTCACTATTTGACCGTAGTCCCTGACAGTCACTGAATCAATGTCCAAAGTGTCCAAGAGTGGATGGGTCAAAATAAGCTTTGTTCCTAAAATGTAGTCTTAGAATAAGGACTAAATAAGGCTAAAGACTGTTAAAAAAAACGTGTAATTTTTTTATTTGCACTTGACTATACAGAAAACAATCTAATTTGATAAGAATTTAACACTTCCTATCAAAATCTAGTTATGCATTTATTTACTTGTCAATAGGTAACTAGTTAAATAACTTATATGTTAAATGAATCCAGCTGCAGGCAAATCTCTAACAACAGGTTAATGGATCATATCTATGTTTAAAAAAGGAAGATAACTCAGCAGCATCTTATTGGTGGTCCCTAAAGCACTGATAAACATCGGATCACAGCGAGCATCGAGTTTGCAGGTTTGAGTTACGTAATCTAGAATTGAGTTTTGAGATAAAACAAAAAAACCTTAAAAATCGATTTGATGATTTAAGGGACTTTGGTTTTTACTTCAACCTAAACTTGAATATTATGGATCTCTTTCATGAAAGTAAGTTACAAAATAAAAGCACTGAGGATACAACGATGGAACTGGGACTCATACTTCTTCGGAACAAGGAAATACATTTGAGTTAAATAAACAAGGCTGAAAAACAAAAAAATGTAGAGAGGCGACATCATCAGATCTACTTCTAATATTTAAACTAACCCAGAAATTAAGAAAAACTATTTGTTTGCACTGCTTAAAGCATTGAGTCTGAACAGTCACACAGTTTTCCCAGAAATAGCATCGACATAACATCTTTATAAAATAAACTTAAACTTATAAATAAACTTTATAAAAAGATGGTTTGAATGTTTGCATCTGGAAACCAGTTATTATTTACTTTGTTATGGTTAGATGGTATTTTACTGGTTGTTCTAACAAACAACAAAAAACAAATTTTTTTTATATTTTTAAACCCGATTAGATTATCTATTGGGTTAAATTATTTAAAACTTCTAAATAAAATGTAGAACTTTGGACGATGAGGGTTCACAGTAAAAACAACTAACCTCAAACTTCTTGAGCTCCTCCTTGGCTACAGAATAGAGAACGTCTGCAGAGTTTGGACTGGCAGCCATTCTCTCGGCTATCTTGAGCCAATCCTCGAAGTGGGAGTAGTCGTTAAGGAACTTGCACCAGAGCGTCCAAGTTTCCTCGATCCTGCAGGAAAACATCATGTTGCTGTTATATTGTTTATTGCTACTGAAATCTTTGGTGCTTATGACTTACATAGAAGGAAAAATTAATTGAACCGAAGAACATGAAAAGCGTTATTTAATTAAATGGGTAACCCTCTTTTTATTGCGCCTATTTTCCTTATGATGAGATTATACTGTATATTCTCCCCGTACAAACTTTTTATGAGCAAATTAAACAGCTTGGTAATTCATTCCTTCACATGCTGATGGTGGAAAACGACATTGTAGCCACAGATGCCCTGAGGCGCCAAAGACATGGCAGAGGCTTGACCTGGCAACCCACCTGTTAAAGAACAAACCCCTACCTCCTAAACCACCATTGACCAATCTTGCTAAAAACATGTTAATATGAACAGAAATGTAGGACATTTTTCCCCCAAAGTAAAGCTATTTACTAAAAAAATGATGGTTTATCATAGTGTTTCTGATTCCTTGGTCTGTCTCTCAACCACGTAGCCTGCCTCTTTCTGTTCTAAACAGTTTGCCTCTCCTTGCTTCGGACTTCTGGACCTCTGAGGCTGCCTCTTCCTGTTCTGATGTGTTTGCCTGACCTGTCTTGGGATTTCTGCTTGTTCTCCAGGGCTTCAGCATCTAGGACATCCTGGGCGGTGCCCGCCGCATCATATTGGAAGCCCATCAGCTGGATCTACCTTGTTCTCTGGGCATGGACTGAACTTTTAAACCAAAGTTTCCTGTCTCAGGCGCCCTAGCTGCTGCTACTGCAGATCTACAGCCTGTTAAATGCTTTTCGAGTAATCTCACTGTCTGTCTTGCCTTGAATACTGGGTCCTTCTGTTCTGAGCCATGACAAAGAAGCCAGATGTAAAACTCATTCTCTTTTCTCAAGTTTATTATTAGAAAACTTCATTAGACTGGTAAGTTAACACTTCGCTCCTAGTATACAATCGCACATCTTTGTTATTACTCTCTATGTTTAGTAGAAACAAAATACGGGCAATTACAGGTCTATCGCCCCTAGTGGCCAAAAGTCATACGGCGTGCCTTTCTTCATACTGCGGCTACCTGAGCCTTCTTTCCAGCGCTAGAGCACAGATGGTCCTCCATTGTTGGTCTAGGCTGCGGCTAGTTTCCTGCAGGGAGTCGCTCTCCGCCTCGAAGCCGCCTGCAGCATCATCATCATGCAGCAAGGTGTCACACAGACTGAGGACTGATGCTACACCTTCCGTGTGCTGCTCAATGTCCCGCTGCAGATCCTGCATATACACAAAGGAAGGTATTACGAGTCATTAGGCCTCATGGATTAAACAAGGAGAGCAAGACACTAACAAGGGCCAGTAACACAGAAAAGAGGAGAAGAGAGTGGAAGAATAGTGAAAAAAATATTAAAAGTTACATTTAATGCTAAATACTTGGAAATATATTAAGGAGGAAATAAAACTAAATTTAGGAAGTGAAACAAAGTCCAAAAAGTTAAATCTAGTTTCGACCGACACAACAGCAAGTTTAATTTGAATGTCTACCTGCTGTTCAGCGAGCCTCTTCTGGATCTCCTTCTCATGGCAGACGCTGTAGGTGATTGGTCTGGACAGCTCGGCCTCGATGCGTGAAAGCCATGAGCGCAGGTTGCTCATGTTCTTATCCAGCTGCTGCAACTTCGCCAGAGTCTCCTTTAGCTTCTTCACCCTGAAAAAGACAAAAAAATATATGTTCACTGTTTCAAGAACTTTATTCTTCTAAATCTAGTTTCAACAATCCTTGTTAATATTACAAATATGTCCCAAATAATTGACACATTTAAAACCCAGTTGTTATGCCAGTTGACCTTTACTAAAATCTACCACCTGATTGGACCCAATTTTGCATGTACCCATTCCTCCCAGTTAATGATACATTATGCAAAACACAATCAACAAGTAGTTTATCAGAGAAAGAGAGGCAGCTGGTTAGAGAGTGTTTAATTATTTTCTGGTTGATATTTCTGGAAAAAAAAAATATATGCAGAAATATTTCAAGAAAGTAAGATGACCAACAAAGGAAATGAAAACTAAACTAAAAGATAAGGATGAAAAGACATGTGTTGAAAGAAAGAAAGAAAGAAAGAAAGAAAGAAAGAAAGAAAGAAAGAAAGAAAGAAAGAAAGAAAGAAAGAAAGAAAGAAAGAAAGAAAG